TAAAAAAAAAAAAAAACAACAAATTAGCCATTCTTTATGTTGTATTACTTTGACAATTTTATCATGTGACCTTAATTACTTTTATTGCAGAGGCGAAATGAGATACAATGTAACTAGCCTTATCAAATTAATCATGGCATATACTTTGTGTCATAGCACTCATTAATAACTTTTTCATTTAACTTTATTAAACAAAAACAACAAATTAACCATTCTTTATGTCGTATTACTTTGACAATTTTATTATGTGACCTTAATTACTTTTATTGCGGAGGCGAAATGAGATACAATGTACCGAACCCTATCAAATTAATCACGGCATATACTTTGTGTCATATCACTTATTAATAACTTTTTCATTTAACTTTTTGAACAAAAACAATAAATTAATCGCACCGAGTCCTTTGGGCCAAGTGGCAATAGCCACCATGGTGCATTTCCCCCTCCCCAGGGCTGGGGTTCGAACCCAGCCCTTGTAAACTCAGTTCAAAAAAAAAAAAACAATAAATTAATCATTTTTTATATCGTATTACTTTGACAATTTTATTATGTGACCTTAATTACTTTTATTGCGGAGGCGAAATGAGATACATTGTACTTAGCCCTATCAAATTAATCACGGCATATACTTTGTGTCATATCACTCATTAATAACTTTTTCATTTAATTTTATTGAACAAAAGCAACAAATTAGTCATTCTTTATGTCGTATTACTTTGACAATTTTATTATGTGACCTTAATTACTTTTATTGCGGAGGCGAAAATGAGATACAATGTACCTAGCCCTATCAAATTAATCACGGCATATACTTTGTGCCATATCACTCATTAATAACTTTTTCATTTAATTTTATTGAACAAAAGCAACAAATTAGTCATTTTTTATGTCGAATTACTTTGACAATTTTATTATGTGACCTTAATTACTTTTATTGCGAGGCGAAAATGAGATACAATGTACCTAGCTCTATCAAATTAATCACGGCATAGCATCTGGACCTGACGATCCAATAATTATAGGTCGACTTGTAAGGTGCATCCTCAATTTGAAGGTGGGAATTCGATTTTCTCCTCCCCATATTTGTAATTTTGTTCAAAAAAAATTAATCACAGCATATACTTTGTGTCATATCACTCATTAATAACTTTTTCATTTAACTTTATTGAACAAAAACAACAAATTAGTCATTCTTTATGTCGTATTACTTTGACAATTTTATTTGACAATTTTATCATGTGACCTTAATTACTTTTATTATTATTTTTTTTTTGATACATGGGAAACTAAATTAAAGTTTAAACTCTGAGGAATGAAGCCCCAACACAATCACCATGCATGATCATACTGATCCCAACTGGTGGATCTTGAAATAACGTGATACCCGAGGTAGAATTATGACCCAAAGCAGCCATAAAATCTGCAGCAGCATTTCCTTCGCGAAGTGTGTGTTGAACTAGGCAATCAGTAAAGGCATCTGACAACGATAGAATATCAACCAGTAGGACAGAAAAAGATCCATTCCCAATCTTTCTTGCTTGTATCAACTGTACAGCCATCAAAGAATCCATTTCAAGGATTAAATGTTGTATTCCAAGCGAAAGAGCTAGCCTTAAACCTTCGCGACAGCCCCAAAGCTCAACAATGAAACTGGAGGTAACACCTATATTTACAGTAAATCCATGTATCCAATGACCTTGATGATCATGAATCAGGCCCCCTGCACATGCTCTTCCAGATTGATGCGACCTTGAGCCATCAGTATTCAATTTTAGAAAAGGAGGATCAGGAGGCAACCATCGCACCCATCGATGCTCACGAGGAGGAGGTGATAATACAGATGAATTTAAGACCAAGACTGTCTCGAAAGCAAGAGATCTAGCCTGCTGGAATACAGTTTGTGGGGCAATCCATTTTCCATCAAAGACTAATTTATTTCTGCTTTTCCAAAGAGACCAGAGAACTACTGGAAACAAACCTGCCCAGGTGCTTAGTGAACTACCCAAAGAATGAGAATGAACTGAGTTTTTAAACAACTAGCTATCAAAATCCAGATGAAAGAAATTAGAGGGTAGATAATCAGAAACTTCCCACACCAATCTTGAGTAATAACAATCACGTAAGAGATGGATAGGAGTCTCAATAGCTTGTTCACAACGAGGACACATAAGGGAAGAAGCCATATGCCTATCAAACCGCACGGAATTTGTGAGAACTCGACCCTTGCGCAGTAACCAAATAAAGAACTTGACTCTCTCTGTGCACCGAATGTTCCAGATCCAGCGCCATTGTACGCTAACTGTCGAGGCCATACGCTGCGATTGTAGCATTGCAAAAGCAGAGCTTACTGTAAAGTCACCAGTTGTTGAACCATGCCAGAAGGGACTATCTGTAAACTGGTCTGTTATGGACAGGGGAATAACTGTAATAGAGTCTAGCACATTAAGTGGAAGCAGCTCTATAATCGGACTAAGATCCCAATTTTTATCACTTGAGATGAAGCTAGCAACAGGCAAATCAATCAACTCTTGTGGAATTGGTTGTATAGCAAAATCCAGGAGCTTCTTATGGCCAACCCAAGTATCATGCCAAAACTTGATGTTGGAACTTGAACCTACCTGCCATCTAACACCCAACTGCAAAACATCTCTACATTTTAATATACTTCTCCAAGTTACAGAGGAGGCGGATTGCGATGGACAATTCATGAGAGACCCTGTACGGAGATATTTTTGGGAAAGAGCTTGACACCAAGGCTTGTTTTGTCCTGAGAGAAGTTGCCATCCCAACTTAGCAATGAAGGCCTTGTTGTTCTCAAAAGAAGTGCGTAAACCTAACCCTCCCTGACCACGAGGCCGACAGACATCACCCCAGCTAACTAAGTGAAGTTTAGCTGAGTTACTATCTGAGCCCCACAGAAACTTCCTGTTCAAACTGTCAATGGCATCACAAGTACTCTTGGGTAGTAAAACAGATTGCATGCTATAAGTTGGAATTGATGAAGTAACAGACTGTACCAAAATTCTTCTACTGGCAAAGCTTAAAAGTGACTGCTTCCAGCTCGCTAGTTTAATCTGAATTTTTTCCACGATGTACTTATAAGTTGCAGTAGTTGAACGCCCATGTATGATAGGGACTCCAAGGTAGACACCCAAATTGCATGTTAGAGGAATGCCACAAAGAGAGCTTAGAGCATTTGCAACATTGCTTTGGATGTTTGGCGAGATATACAGTTTGGATTTAGCAAGATTAATTTCAAGACCAGATCTCCCTGAGAACTCAGATAAGCAATCCATTACCATGGCTATCTGAGTCTGAGATGCTTGACAAAATAACATTAAATCATTAGCAAAAAAGAGATGCGAGAGAGCTAACCCCCCTCTTGAGACTTTGAAAGGCTTCCAAGAACCTGTCTGTACCTGGCTCAAGATCATGTGGGACAATTTCTCCATTGCCATAATGAAAAGGTAAGGTGAGAGTGGATCACCTTGCCGCAAACCATGCTGAGGCTGAAAATATGGAAGTTCGTTACCATTCCACAAGACTGAAAGCTTAAGTGAAGATATAGAGAACATGATCAACCTGATTAGCGGAGCTGGAATGTTGAAATCCACTAAGACCTCTAATAGGAAATCCCAAGAAATGCTGTCAAAAGCTTTATGCAAATCAATTTTAAAGGTCGCGGCACCTGTCCTTCCCTTCATTCTACGCATGGAATGGATTGCCTCCTGTGTTAGTATTATGTTATCAGTTGTGCTTCTCCCTGCCAAGAAACTATTTTGAAATGGGCCAATAAGAGACTGGAGGTGCGGCCGTAGTCTGTTAACAATAACCTTTGACAGCACCTTATAAGCAACATTGAGGAGGCAAATTGGCCTAAACTTTTGAATGGTGTCTGGACTCTCACCTTTAGGAATGAGAGTTATATGAGTTTGAAGCAAAGACGTATCAAAATAACCATCAGTAAGTGCTTGATTAACAAAAGAGAGCAATGTACCTGAAACGACAGCCCAATGTTTTTGATAAAAAATGGGTTGAATGCCGTCAGGTCCAGGACTTTTAAGACCCTTCATAGAAAAGAGAGCAGCTTTAACTTCATCCATAGAGATAGGAGCTAGCAAAGAAAGACTATCATCATCAGTGAGGCATGGCTGAAGATTTAAATAGGATTGCGAAGGAGGCTGGGTATCCTTATGAGAGAATAAACTCTTGAAAAAATCGTGAAAATGTTGCTTAAGATCTGCCGAATCATGAACCCATGAGTCTCCAATTTTTAAAGCAGAAATTTTATTCCTACCCCTTCGAATGATTGTGGAGGCATGATAGAAATTTGTATTTCTGTCTCCAGAAGCAATCCAATCTCGATGAGATTTTTGACACCAGAAAAGTTCCTCAGCATGGAGAGCTCGATGATATTCATCAAGCAAATCAACTTCCAAGTTTTGCAAAAAATGAGAAGTTGCATAGTATTGGGAATTTTGGATTCCTGCCAACCGAGCTTGTAAGTGCCTTTTTTTTTAAATATATCACCAAAAACATCACGATTCCATTGAATACAAGTCTCACGAACAGAACTGATAGCATCTGGTAAAGAAAGACTATGAGCTGACCAAGCTTCTGAGAAAACTGTCCCAAAGTTTTCATGAGTCAACCAAGCTGCTTCAAATCTCATTGGCTTTGCATTCCGGTTCGCTGGAGAAGAGGTATCTACACAAAGCATAACAGGATGGTGATCACTACAAAGACGAGGAAGGTTTATAATCTTGGCCTCTGGGTATGCCTCCAAAGCGGACAAATTAAAGAGGGCACGGTCGAGCTTTTCTCGTAGAGATACCTTGCCATTTATCTTCCGAACCCAGGTAAAAGCACACCCAAGAGACTCTTTCGAGTATAAGCCACACTGAGCAAGTCGATCTCGAAATCTTTGTGCTCAACCAAAGCGGCTTCCAGCTCGCGGAGAAGCTTCATCCGCTGATGCAATATCATTGAAGTCACCCATAGCTATCCAACTTCCAGAAATAGTAGGAGCTAACTGAATAAATTTATCCCAAAAAATACTTTTCATTTCTCCATGTGGCTGGACATAAGCAATAAAAAGAAGCTTATTAAAATTAATTTTGTGAAGATAATAAGTTTTTTTTTATTGCTTAAGAAACTATAATTTTTAACATATATTGTTTTAATTTTTCTTTTTGATAATTTTTCTTTATAATAGAAATTATAATTATCAATAT